TCCTCAATTTGATCAAGGGCCTCTTGGAGCAACCTCGTGACATGATCAAGTCCACCCTTCTTCACGTGTCATCCCTTCAACAACAACAACAACAATTCACAATCAGCTGTTAACAGAAACCTGTAATAATATTCACCGTTTTCTCCTCCAATTAAAGAATCCTTTACATCATTCCATTGACGTCACAGAAACAATTCAAAACCATCTAAAACAAATCATTACTTTCGAATGTTTACAAGCCACCTTTCGGTGCTTACACAAAATAATAATAATAATATTCACCTTCTTAGAATAATCAAGTAACATCTTCAGCAATGCATTAAAATCATTGTGAATGAACGTAGACTAAACTAAAAATTATTTAGTAATTTTTAATATTCACCTTCGAAATGAATTCGATTCCAGTGATTGTTCAGGAACACATCCAAATTGAAAATTGATCTCGTCCAATTCTATGAAGTTGGTACGATGCTAACAACGCCGATTTGAACCTCTCGATTGTCACTTATGCAATTTCAGCTTTTTTTTTGGGGAGATTTATCTGAAATCGTTGAAAGAATCAGTGAATTATAACGTGACGCATTAAATTAATTGTTTAATTGATAATTACCAGGTAATTGTACGATTGCGTGTATTCGTGAAGAGTGACATGTTTCTTACTGTTAACATAGGCAATCTTAGGAACACCCGGTAACCATTCTCATGTAATATAGGCAACCAACTTTATGTTTTTAAAAAAAGTGTACATTTGGTTGCATATACTATACTTTTCAAGATTTTGTAATTAAATATCTTTTATAAGCGATTATTTTATATTATTTGACGTAAATTCAATATAAATTGTGATTTTCAAGGTGGTGTACATATTCAAAAAACTTCGTTTCCACTAATTTTGTTTATTTGATTTAGGATATAACAAAAAAAAAACATTTAAATTTATCAAAGGCACCGTTTAACTAATTCATAATTTCGTTACCATGGAATTGTATAATTCAATGTGTATATATATGTATAGATTTGATTTTTTTTATTTGCGCAAATGAATTACATTTGCGCAACAAACGTTTAGAACGCAGCACCGGACATTTATAATAATTTTTAAAAAAAAAGTAACGTAACAATGACGTGCGAAATTTCTAATAAACGCACGTATAATTATGCTTGTACGCAACAACAGTAATCATAAAATAATAAAGAGTTGATTTGGAAAGAAAATAAACGATACACAAACAACCATGATAAAACTGATTTAAATAAAACAAGAAAAGAAAGAAAGAAAGTAGAGAATTTGCCCATGTTAGCTTACACTTTGTGCCGATTGTAGTTTTGCTTGCTTTTGGTCTTCCTCGAATAATATCATGTTGTAAAAAAAAGTTAAATCCTGACAAAATTTGAAGATCTGCTGATTCCTTCCTTCATCCTCATCCTCCAATGCATTTCTCTCTCTTTCTTGTTTTCTCTCGGTCTGGAAAAAGGGCTTCATTCGGTTTCATCATTAATGTTATTGTTGTTATCGGTTAAATATATATAAATATAATTACAGTTGGTGCGCAATATTACATAGTATGTATTTTTTCTTTTTCATTTTCATTTTTAATTAATTATTTTTAACATTAAGTAATTAGATTAACTGCAGCAGGACGCCGGGTTCGGATCCTTGCCCGACCTCTTCGTGATGTTTATTCTTGTGAACTCCTCGGCGACGGTCGGGTGAATTCCCACCGTTCCCATCAGCTTCTCCATGGTCAAATCGCATCTGCAAAGAGAAGAAACAATCAAATATATGTAATCGATAAATCGATATTAGGTGGCCTATATTAATCGAAATCGATAACTATTATGTGAATCTATACTCACTTGATGGCAGCGCCGAAGCCCTGGATGATCTCTCCGGCGTTGGGGCCGATGAAATGCATGCCGATGACCTTCTGCTCTCCCTCGCGCATCGCCACGACCTTAAGATAGCAATGGGCTATAGACTTTTGCGGAATGAAGAACTCGGTGGGTTTGTAGTAGGCATGGTATATCTCTACGCTCTCCGCGCCGTACTTCTCGACCGCAGCCTCCTCGCTCAATCCAACGCATCCGTACTCCAGCGGCGAGAAGATCGTTGTAGCGACGTTCTGGTAATCCATCTGGGCGGTGCCACCGCCGAAGAGACGACGAGCCAACAGTTTTCCGGCGTGAATGGCGACCGGCGTCAATTCGGGCTTTTTCTGCAAATTAATCCAGTTATAGACTTTTACCCTCAACGACGTAATAGTAAATCAATGGACTTACGTAGAGGACGTCGCCGACGGCAAAGATGTGCGGCACGTTGGTCTGCTCGTTGACGGCGTCAATCTTCTCCCCATCACCGGCCAACTCGATGCCGGCCCTGTCGGTGTGCAGCTCTCTGGTGAGGGCGCGTCTTCCGATGGCGAAGAGCACCGTGTCGTACGTCTCGGAGAATTCCTGACCATCGTCGCTCTTCCATTTGGCCAAAAGCTTACCGTCGTCCTGCTTCTCGATGGCCGTCGGCACGCACTTGAACAGGAACTTCACTCCCCTCAAGACCATCGACTCCTGGATGACCTCGGCCATCTGCCTGTCGAATTCCCTGAGCACCACAGAACGCACCATAACCGTAGCGTCGAAGCCAAGACCGCGCAAGAAACCGGCGCATTCAAGACCAATGTCTGAAGAAACGATTAATTAAGGACACACAGACATTTCCAATTTAGTAGGTTAGTGCATTTGATTTAAAAGGATACATCCAGCACCGATGACGAGCGTCTTTCCAGGAGAATTCTCCAAGCTGAAGATGTCGTCGCTCGTGATTCCGTACTCCTTCGCACCGGGAATGTCGTTGTAACGTGGCCTTCCGCCGGTCGCGATCAGGAAGTACTTGGAGGTTAAAGTACGCTCTCCCTTCTTGGTCACAGTGTGAATGGTGTACGGGTCTTTGAAGACGCCCAAACCGTTGATGTACTCCACTTTCCTAAAAAACACAATAATTCAATTCACATATCATTTGTTATCTGCGAAGAAACATACTTGTCCCTGAGTTCGACCCTGGTGACCCAGTTCACGGACTTGATGTGATTCTGAACGGATTCACGTAGAGAAGCCCAATCGTGCGTGATGTTCTCCGCTTCCGGCAATTGCCATCCATAAGCCTTCGCATCCTACAACAACAACAATAGCAATTACGTTCACTGCACCCGTTAATTATACTAACAGTTGTTGACTTACGTGAACGGCTTCGCCGAGAAGAGCCGCCTGATGCATCAACTTCTTGGGAATGCATCCGACGTTGACGCACGTTCCACCCAGACCCCATTTCGTGCCCAGCGGCGTCGGAATCACGTAGTCCAAGACCGCAACTTTCGCTCCAAGATTGGCGGCCTCCTTCGCACAGGCCAAACCCCCGGAACCACCTCCGACCACGACCAGATCGTACTCAGCATCACCTGCGAATTGGAAAATGGACATCGTTGTAGTACGAACGTACAGTTAGCTAACGTGAATGAAACGCGCTTCGACGAAGACGCCGTTTCGCGAGCGCCAGGAGGCGGTGCAGCAGCAGGAGGAACGCTCCGCCCCTGCACGAACAAAAGTATACGCAATTACCGCTTAATTTCATGGCGCTAAACGATCGAGGACCAATCACGGCGTCGCCCTGCTCCGATCATCCCGCCTCCTCCACACCCCAAAAACCCGCAATTCTGACATTTCCGATGACGCAACGCTAACCATGACAGTTCCAAGGCAATTACTACTACTACTACTACAACTTCAGCAACTCCATGATTACTAAATCTTGGTTCAAATCCAGTAAAGTGAAGTTTACCTTTACTCGACATAAACTCCTTCTGTACTTACATTGCAGGAATGTGGCCAATCCGTTTAGCTCAAGCGTTTTCCTGCGACGGTGAAAATGCAACACAGTATTACCCATGGCACAATAATGGTGCCACCATCATCCTCTCTCATCAACAACAAACGCGAATGCAAGTATAGAAAGACATGGAGAGAAAACGGGAATCTACGCTCTTTCTACGCAAAATACTGCAAACATAAGATAAAACAAAGAAATCCAACAAGACAAAAGAAGTGCAAAATTATGAAAACTTTCCATTCTACCAATCAACTAAAAGCCTAATAACTGCAATTCCTGAACTAATTTCAAGACTATATAATGAAAAGAAAAAATCAAAGAAACAAAAGAACTTCCATTATACTCGAAGTGCAATCAGATTAATTACAGAGCAAAGAAGAAAAAACGAAACGTGATGATGTGGTTGGATGATTACCTTCGAGTTTCATCCAATTGGAGACGAAAGGCAGCAGAAAGCCGCCAAGTTCGAGCATGTCCTCCCTTCAGAACCGAAAGGATAGAAACGATTTATAGAAGAAGGCGATGAAATAAACAAAAGGTGTCGACGATGCGAGACTGTTCTTGCTCGATGACTGAGAGAGGTGCGAGGACGACATCGCACATAGACCTCACCATAATCATCATCATCGATAAGCGATCTACTTCGTCCGGCTAAAAGTATTGGGGACAAAAAAAAAATAAAGGAAAATGAAAGAAAGCACGAAAGAAGGGAGAAATTGTTACCAGGAAATGATGGAAATAACGTCAATTGAATAAACAGGAGACACGCGACGACGGCGCCTCAATTAGTCTTAATTAAAGTCGCATCGATCGTACAGAAACAATTTCCTCAAACGAAACTGGATAAAAACACACTTCGATCCACGAAATTGAAGCAATTCACAATGAAAAATTGATCGTTGTAAAGGTCATAATTAACCATTAGGAACAAAAATATTAGGTGCATGGAAAAACAATACAAAAATAAACAAATCAATAATACCGAAATTATGTGTAACCATGGTAGCAAAGAATAGAACAATCCACGGAAGAATACGAAGAAAAACAAAAGCTAAGGTCTGCAATAGAGCCATCGCGATCTGGAAGAAGACTAGTAGCTCGCGACAATAAGACTCGTTATCAAAATATATATATAAATATAAGGAAACAACAGCAATTATTATAATTGATAATTATTATTTTTAAATGCGAATGCCTTCGACCTGAAAAGCAATTAATGCGATTGGGTTAATAGGATATTCAAGTGTTATCGAAGAAATTGCAATAAAAACTAATGATTTAAGCCAGCGGTCGGGGAACCGGGGTAAATTACCAAAAATGGGGTAAAAATGAAATTTTTCTAATTTCATCTTACCTAACTCAGAGATCGGTTCTCTGACTACTTTTCAGATCTTGATGAACAAACTGTAGATCCTTTTAAATGTGAAATTACAAGCATACCAGAAGAACCTTCCAGGTTTGGCAGAGGCAATTCTTGAACTTCCATCCAATACTGTATTCAATTTGAGACCAAAGCAAATCTGTCGTCTTTTTGGTTGTCAAAGGCTGCAAAGGCTTTCAAAATTGCACATGAGGAGGCGGTAAAAAAAATTGCTGCCATTTGCAACAACTTAATTTTGTGAACAAGGCTTTTCCACTCTAATCAACATAAAAAACGAAAAACAGAAATCGATTAAACGCCGAAGACTGTATATTCAAATTGCTCTTACATGAAAAAGTCCCAATTTTAAAGTAATTATATCAAAGATGAAGCAACATCATGTTTCCAAAACCTGAAGGGGGAAAGTTTTCAATTAATTTTTGTTTGTTCCAATTTAAGAATTTCATTTTGTTTGTCTATTACTATTTGTTACTATTTTCATGTAACTTTTTTTTTTATAAATATGTAAATGTAAATTAATTCAATAAATAATGTTTATTTAAAATTTACATTGATTGTTTTCTATTCAGAATGGGGGGGGTAATAACGACTTACGCAATAATAGGAACGTAGGAAACTAGTTCCCAAAAAAAAAGAAGAGATATAGAATTAAACAAACGCCTGTCGTTATGACAATGTTTCATTTGTTTCCCATGAATCGAAGAATGAATTGACCGCCGAAGACGGAGAGAGAAACGGTAATTTCGTAACCTTGGCATTAGAAGGTTCCGGAATTTTTTCGCGCGAAGCGAAGAAAATCGATTCGCCTATTCGGATTACGAACGTGATGAAACTGTTTGGATTCAAGGCCTGATAGATTAAATCAAAACGAGTCGATGAATTTGCAAAATTACAAAGAATTCCTGAAGAGGAATTCGTTGAAGATATTCTAGAAAACAAAAAAAAAGAAAGGAGTAAAAGGTGCAGCGGCAGGTTCAAGGTGACTGAGATTTTGCTTAAATTGACGCGAACAATTGCTTCAATCTTATCTTCGAAACTATGTAACAAAGTAGGCTTATATACACTAAAAATAAATGCGAATCGCTTATAAACAGCCTTGTTATTCACACACCCTCACACAAACTTAGATTTATCGAAATGTGTTTGAAGAAAAGGGCAGATTGTAAGATTGATTTTGCTGCTAACGTCTTCTACAATAGTTCCAGATTTATTTCCAGATCGAAACTTTGCGTGTACATATTACTGGTTTCCAAGGTTACACCGAAATAGACTTAAATATACATGACTTAGTACAGATGTAACGATAGAATATTTTCACGATATTCTCAATCGAGTAAAGTAGTAATTCTTATCTCGAGTACTCGAGATTAATCTTTATAAAAGAAGAATGTAATAGAACATAAATATTCTAGAAACTTTCAATCTGCTAATCTCATCAGCCACATTGAAACTCGTAGAGATAACTATTCAAAAGTTAATTTACGTAACAATAGGAAAACACTAGAATCTAATACGAATAGATTGCTAGATACATGAATTTTGTAATATAATACAAAAGAATTAAGATAAACAATCTAATTAGATGACGTCTAGTTGAAATATGAATATTTATAACATCTTAGTAGAATAATAATTCTCATTTGCAAGTGTACCAAGGATAATGAGTGTAAACACATGTTTTAATTATAGAAAGGCATATCGTTGAAATAAAGTATTCGCAAACTAATTACAAATGATGTCTCAGTTAATCGATAATAATGGAATAGTTCAGTGAGTGGAATAAGTTGGAAACGAGTAATTGTGGTTATAAATCAAAATCAAAGTTAACTTTGCATTTTGACATTCAATGAAGTTGATCAATCGAGAGATGTTAAAGACAGTCATTGAATGATGTGTAAAACTTATTTAGGAATCAATCGATTGAGTGTTAATATATGTAATCTGTGCACGTAGTTACAAGTGAGTCAATCATTTAGTGGAAGATGATAAAGAGCATTGCTCGATTGATTATCAGCAAGTGGTTATTTCATCATAATCATTGAGAAAGTTGAAAAACAGTGATCGCGATGACAGCTAATCATAAAAGGGAATTAGAGGTTAGACGGAAGGATTCCAATTGGATTATCCAATAGGACTCCTGTATGTATGTCGTCATGGTGACACATTGAAACTCATAGAGATAACTATTCAAAAGTTAATTTACGTAACAATTGGAGAACACTAGAATCTAATACGAATAGATTGCTAGATACATGAATTTCGTAATATAATACAAAGGAATTAAGACAAGCAATCTAATTAGATGACGTCTAGTTGAAATATGAATATTTATAACATCTTAGTAGAATAATAATTCTCATTTGCAAGTGTACCAAGGATAATGAGTGTTTTATGAATATTTTAATTATAGAAAGACATATCGTTGAAATAAAGTATTTGCAACTAATTACAAATGATGTCTCAGTTAATCGATAATAATGGAATTGATCAATTGTGGTTATAATTCAAAATCAAAGTTAACTTTGCATTTTGACATTCAATGAAGTTGATCAATCGAGAGATGTTAAAGACAGTCATTGAATGATGTGTAAAACTTTTTTTTAGGAATCAATCGATTGAGTGTTAATATATGTAATCTGTGCACGTAGTTACAAGTGAGTCAATCATTGAGTGGAAGATGATAAAGAGCATTGCTCGATTGATTATCAGCAAGTGGTTATTTCATCATAATCATTGAGAAAATTGAAAAACAGTGATCGCGATGACAGCTAATCATGAAAGGAAATTAGAGGTTAGACGGAAGGATTCCAATTGGATTATCCAATAGGACTCCTGTATGTATGTCGTCATGGTGATAAGATGGTTGGTGTTACGTGAAAACCAAGAGGGCCGGTTACTAAGGAAGGCCGCGCGCGTCTGTACTTACGTTTGGTGCCGTAGAAACGGGCCCCCTGCAGCAGCAGGAAGCGATTCCTGTTACCGCTACCACCGAACGACAGCACTGCTCGCAGCGCCATTTCTATAACCTCAATAAGGAAGAGGTAAGGAAGGATACGAGGAGGTCCTTTTCAGCGAGACCGCACGAACGTTTATCGCGGCGCTGTCAAAAAAAAAAAATAAAATAATACCGGAGCGAAGGTCACTCTCACGACGATCGGCGAGAACCGCACGCGCTTCCTGCGAGCCACGAAAAAACAAAACTAACACACGTAAAAACAAAGAGTGTGTGTGTCTGTAACAGATGAATTCGATAGTGGTGACGGGGTGCAACCGAGGTCTGGGGTTGGGACTGGTGAGGAGCCTGGTGGGAAGGCAGGATCCGCCCAGGACGCTGATCGCGACGTGCCGGGATCCTGACAAAGCGCAAGTAAGTTATGCAATTAGGGAAACTCACCACAAGGCGCCATATCTCTTGCTGTTGCTCGTTTAGTTTATCCAAAATAAAACTCGTAAAAAGCGGAGCGAAAAACACGTCTCTCCTGTTGCTCTCTCTCAGACAACCGCACGCAACCACCGACTGATTGACACTGCTGTCAAATGGCGCCGTGGCGCGTCTCTTATTATTTTTTTCCGTTTCAATACAAATTGACAGTTGACAGTGGCGACCTCTGGCAGGAATGCGTGCGTACTTCCCATTTTTTTGAATTATTCAACTTGATAAGTTATGCAACAGTAGATGTTCGTGCGGTTAAAAATAACCTATCATCGCAATTATTTGTTAACACACACACATTTTTTTTTATCTACACAATCAATTTCAATGAAAAGTCTATAATCAATATATTTAATAAACTAAATGTATGATTCGATCTTAACAACTAATGATGATGAATCTAGGAAATTAAACAATTGAATCTCACCTCTGATGTGCACGATCGCAGTGGGCGTCTTCGGTTTCTTGGTAGACCGGAAGCAGCAGAACGTACCCATGATGATCCTACACTTTTCGCACTTCTTTATTTTTGGATAAATATCGAACAACTTTTCGAGTGCAATAATACTAAACGATATCGATGTAATTTTGATAACGGAAGTCTAATCTAAATCCATTCACAGCCAACAAAATTTGATGTTTTTGGATCAATTCTAGGAGCTGAGGGAAATCGCCGAGAAGCACAGGAACGTCCACATTTTGAGCCTAAGTACAGAATAACGCAATTATTTACCCATGAGTCATATAACTGTGACGATGATTCAAATAATGTTGTGTTGCAGACGTCCGAAACTACGACTCGTTCAAGGATTTCGCAACGCAAGTCTCCGAGATCGTCAAAGATGACGGTCTCAACGTTCTCTTCAACAATGCCGGAGTTTCTCCCAAGTACACGAGGATCAATTACGTGAAAGTTGATCAACTCTTGGAGACGTTTCAAACGAACACCGTCGCTCCAATCATGTTAACAAAAGTATAACAATAATTAATTAGTTATTCATTTACGTTATTATTATCATCTTGTAGGCATTGCTTCCGTTAATCAAGAAGGCTTCGGAGAAGAACGCCGGTCTGAAGATGAGCTGCAAACGAGCCGCGATCATCAACATGTCTTCGATTCTTGGCTCGATCGAGTCCAACAAGGACGGCGGTCTATATCCCTACAAATGCTCAAAAGTAACACGATTATTTGATGATAACAATTTGAAATTAACTACGTATTTTAGGCGGCTCTGAATATGGCCACCGCCTCTTTGGCTTTGGATCTGAAGAAGGACGATGTTTTAGTGGTATCGCTGCATCCTGGTTGGGTGAAAACCGATATGGGCGGTAACAACGCCCCATTGGGCGTTGACACGAGCACCGAATCTCTCGTCGATCTGCTGCACGACATGGGTCCCGCCCACAACGGCGGCTTCTATCAATGGGACGGCAAACAGTTGCCCTGGTAACCACCATAAACTTGCATCTTAAACGATATTAAACAAATAAAGTGATATTTCTGGTTGTTTCTTAATCACAGTTTGTTTTTTTTTTCGTGTAATCCTAAAACAGAAGATATTGATTATTATTGCTAAAAAAAAAACAAAGATTAACAAGAACTCACCCTTAAGACACGCCTATAAGTGGGGGGGAAAACGTAGTGAAAAGGGCGTGGACAAGTCATGGTAATCACCAAAATATTCAATGAAAATGCAACAAGTTTCCGTCTTTCCGAGTTCTTTTTTTTTACTTCCGGTCATTTCTGTCTTATTTTTTACGTACTTCATCCGCAAGTATCTAAAGTCTATTACGCGTGTGTTCTTTTTTTTTTGTTTGTTTGTTTATTTTTAAGTAACTGCTTTCATCAAAAATGCAGGAAAATTACTAATTTGAACGAAAAAAAAAAAATATTAAAGCATTCCAGTTTGTTTTTTTCTTCTTATTTCATTTCCACGTGTAATCCTAAAACAATAGATATTGATTATTATTGCTAAAAAACAAAGATTAACAAGAACTCACCCTTAAGACACGCCTATTATAAGTGGGTGGGAAAACGTAGTGAAAAGGGCGTGGACAAGTCATGGGTTGTCATGGTAATTACCATACTTATTCAATGAAAATGCAACAAGTTTCCGTCTTTCCGAGTTCCTTTTTTTACTTCCGGTCATTTCCGTCTTATTTTTTTAATAATAATAATAATTAATTCATTAAAAAATAATAATAATAATAAAAATGGATACATATTTACATTGATTAATAGTAGTTTTTTTAAAAATAGAAAATAAAAATAGAGTTTTTTTTCACATAAATATTTGAAATAAACAGAGAAATATATGTTATATATGTATGAAACAAAAAATTAAGTATTCGAGGACGGCGTAGGAGGGTCCACTAATCAATAAATTACTAATTTGAACGAAAAAAAATAATAATATTAAAGCATTCCAGTTTGTTTTTTTCTTCTTATTTCATTTCCACGTGTAATCCTAAAACAATAGATATTGATTATTATTGCTAAAAAAAAACAAAGATCAACAAAGAACTCACCCTTAAGACACGCCTATTATAAGTGGGTGGGGAAACGTAATGAAAAAGGCGTGGACAAGTCATGGATTGTCATGGTAATTACCATACTTATTCAATGAAAATGCAACAAGTTTCCGTCTTTCCGAGTTCTTTTTTTTACTTCCGGTCATTTCCGTCTTATTTTTTTTAATAATAATAATTAATTCATTAAAAAATAATAATAATAATAAAAATGGATACATATTTACATTGATTAATAGGAGTTTTTTTTTTCACATAAATATTTGAAATAAACAGAGAAATATATGTTATATATGTATGAGAAAGAGAGAGAGAGAGAGAGAAGGATGTATATGGCAGTGAAACAAAAGTGATATGCGAACAAGTACACAATAATAATAATAATAATAAGGACATCGATGAGTCTGAGATTGCTTGCATTTCCATGGAAATAAGAAAACAAAAGGTGATGAAGACATAGAGAGGAATGTTCGGTTTCACAATAGAAAAGTTGGATTGGAGTATGAAAGAGAAGAGAAGGTAACAACGTTCGTGGATGCAATGCGAAAGGCGAGACTCAAAGATGAAATGAGCATTTTGATACATCGAAGTACAAATAATACGTTACAATAATAATAATAACAAAATAAAAAAAAACAAACGATCAGTCTCCCATGACACTCAAATATAACGTCCATTTGTTTCATAAACAAAAATAAAACGACGCACAAAACAAAAACAAAAAAGGAATGGCGTATTTGATTGTTTTTGTTTATTCTTCTTCTTCTTCTTATTACTTTCGATCCTCTCTTGTTGAAATCTTCACGGATAAACGAACAAAAGAAAATCGTTTCGCCATTAATCTCGATTCACCTAACTAGTTAATCAATATATATATATATAATACATACTCTACGGTACTAGCATATCTACTCAATAACAGTATTCTTGTCTTAATGATCGTATTTTGTAAATTCATACACCTGCTTTCCTTTTCCAGGACGTTCACAGAAACCACTTCCGCATTCGTTTGTTTTTTTAGGCCTACCATGACTATACACATTACAAAAATCAATCTCCCAACCCTAATCCGCCCCTTCCCCCATTCATTATCATTATTTTATTTCCGGTTCCGGTTAAATTCGCCATTTATTACAATACGTTTCAACTTTCTTTCCAATAAATCGTGTGAGTGTGTAATTTTTCTTACTCTTATTCACTTTAAATATCACATAATTCCCTAATAAAAAATATATTTGTGTTTATATATATGTGTGTGTGTTATATCAATCGTGCGTACACTTTCTGCGTACATCCAAATATATATATAGTATAGACATCATCATCATCATTATACACAATTTACTGAACGGAAGCAATTTACTTTCATCATAATGTTTTCCTGCATTCACTTTCTAATAATTCATATTTGGAAACCTAAATTTAATTCGAACTTTCTCTTAAGAATTTCTTCGTATTTGTATATTGGCAATCGGTTTCACTGTTCTATATAAATAGCAATCGTTTCGAGTCTCCTCTGTTTCTGGCGATTTCAATTGTTTGTTTATTGATGCTGATTTTCTACACGTTGCTACGCTACGATGTTTGTAAATTCATTTGTTTCCTTTGATTTTTAACACTAAAATGTAATCGAAATCAAGTGGCTTCATTTCAAACTCTAATGTGACCGATTCTAAGTTCTCTGTTAATTTTCCGTATACAAAATAACAAAATAACTTAAGTAGAAACCACACGACACGATCGAATGATAAAAATCTTCAAATCATCCGACGTTTCACCGATCAATAATTACAAAATATTCGACTACGTACGTACTTCATCCGCAAGTATCTAAAGTCTATTACGCGTGTGTTCTTTTTATGTTTGTTTTGTTTGTTTTTAAGTAACTACTTTCATCAAAAATGCACGAATACTAAGAGAGAACAACAACAAGAAGATTTGCATACACACTTAAAATTGTTAAAATTTAAAATTATAAAGTACAAATTAAGAAAAGTGTTAATATAAATAAACAGGCCCTTTCGCAATTCATTCGTAACAAATAAAGGTAAACGAAAACTAACGAATCAATTGAAAAACAAAAATGTTAAGTATTCGAGGGCGGCGACTAATCAATAAATTACTAATTTGAACGAAAAAAAAAAATAATATTAAAGCATTCCAGTTTTCTTTTTCTTGTTTCTCATCCTCGCTCACGATTCGAGTTTTGTTTTTGTTCGGTTCGCGGCTTTTATATTCGAACGATTTATATAAGTAGAGGACGATCTCTTTGTCGTCTGTGTCTGTTGGTTGGTTTTACATAAGTTTGTTACCGACGTGGCAGTGCTGGTCGATGCAATCGATGCTAGAGACATCCGGCGTCGGGATGTTGCGATTGAGATTTCCTCGACGTCTTCGTCGCTCCTCCTTTCACCTCGATCTTCACCTGATCGACGCTCAACTTTCTCGTGTTTCCCAGCGTCACCAGAGTGCTGGCAATCGCCAATCCGGCCGACTGTCCTCGCACAGTGTACGGTTCACCTCCTTATATAAACAAAGTTAAACGAGTTGTTATTGTTGTTGTTACATTCGATCATTCATCTTACCTGTTGGCAGACGAACCAGAAGACTTAGAACTGCAGCTTTGTTACCGCTGCACGGCTCCAAAGCAATGGGACTCGGAGCGTCCTTCTTGCTCCGCAACCTCTCCAAGGCCAGATGGATTGCGTTATCTGCGTCCACCTTTTCCTTCACCTCGACCTCGACGAGAACCTGCGAGAATGGCCTGGAAGCCATCTGCTCCATCTCGACGAACAGTCTCTGCCTGCGCGTGTACATGTCGTATCTCTGCTTGATCTTCCACATTATCGCAGCAACCAGCAACAACAACAAAAAACACCTGAAACACGATCAATTCGTAATTGCAATGTACACTCATCATCAAAGGAGGCTATTAAGAAGAGAAAAAAACACTCATTCATATCGATTGCAGCCCGTTGTTAATTAGGTGGCCTAATCGCACTTACGTGGAGAACGTGATGAAGAACTGCTGCAGATTGAGCTTGGGATATTGCGAGAACGAAATCTGTATCCAGAGGGGCGGCTGGAAGTCGTACACGTAGACGTAGAAGGTGGTCAGGGTGACGTTGTCCTCGGTGCCGAAGTTGTACTCGGACTTGGTGAAGCGCGATCTGAAGGTGGAGCAGTTGTGACCGGTGTAGATGGCCTTCTCGTCCTTCGAATTGCCCCTCTTCACGGTGATGTTCATTTTGGCGAGAACCGAACAGGTGATGGTAAAATCGGCGTCGATGTCCGGTTTCGTCGGCGAATTCCGGAAGTTGATCTGCGTGTAGTGACGATCCTCCTTCTTGGACAGATTGAACGTGAACTGGTAATCGATTGTGAGATCATCTGTAAATGCACAATTTATTTGGATTGAAATGTGCGTTTCAGTTTCTACTTACAGTAGCAGAATCCTTTGTTTGTGGGATCTCCGTGGTAGTGATTCGCTGCGTCGCACTTCTCGCAGTGATCTCCGCCCAAACCTTTGGTGGTGCAGTAGCACTTCCCGCTCTCCGGATGGCATTGGGTTGCTTGTCCGTTGCATTCGCACGGCTGGCATTGTCCTCCGTTTATCGGCGAACCCCAATAGCCTTGGACGCAGCGCTCGCAGTGCGCCCCCCAGGTGTACCCACGACACGGAAGACATTCGCTAGTGTTTCCACGACAACTGGCGTGTCCGTTGCACTGGCAGAGAGGGCAATTGGTGAAATGCCACCTCTCCGAAGGGCACGTGCTGGATGGCAGAGATTGCGTGTGCAGAGTCGGACCAGCGTATCCACCGGGCATGCACTTTCCCAGTCCTGTCCTGCTCCCATCGTCGCACCAACCGCAGGCTGGGTCGTCGCGACACTGGGCGCAGGTTAAGTAGAAGCTGCACTGTGATTTCTCCTCGTTACCGCTGCTTCGGCACTTGGTGCTGACCGTCGTCCACTCTCGGCAACGGCCGTACGGGAAGCTCGAGATGTAGGCGTTCTTGTCCACGCAACGACCCTCGTTCTGACACCAAATACACTCCTCCTGTGTGCAGTTCTGACAAGAGCTGTACTCGGAGCAGACTCGAGGACACTGCTGTCCCTGATCAATAACCATCACATCGGTCTGTGTCTGATTGTTTCCGGCAGTCGGCGGAGTATACGTCGAGCATTTGGCGCTCTCATAAGACCATTTACCTGAGTAAACATTATTAATTAATAAATTGCTTAATAATTACCAAACAAACTTCGGTTACTCACAATAGTTAGTTTGAGCGCTGCATGCTTTACACGTATGCAACTTATCGCACATCGGTCCCGCATCCAACGGACATTGGTCCAAAGAGAAAATGGGCAGGTCCTTGGAATCCTTGCACGAATCATAGGCGCACGCTAAAATAAAAATTTAATTTAACATTTTGATGAATATTTTGATTTTATAACTGACCCGACCCGACCCAACCAGAAACTGTGTTGCACCAGACACATTTTCTGGTTGTGGAAACGCAGCTGGCGCAATCCTCCATCTCGCCGCAAATCTCCGTATCCTGGAAGATCCTGTGACCAATGTAGGAACGATTCATTTCCGGACAACGGAGGATGACGGAATCGGCACTACTCAGTTGAGTTCTCGGCACATCCTTAATGTTGATGCACCTTCCATTCTTGTGGTCCCAAACGCACTTCACTCCTGGCCTGGTGTTCAAGCAGACGTTCTGCGCGCTCAGAGGATCGCAAGTACCTGGTGTATACTTGAGGATGTCCGAAAGCATCTGACCATCGAAACCTCCATAGATGTAAAGAGATCCCTCGAAAATCGAAGCCGAATGTCCGAATCGCGCTAGATCGGATTGGATCGTCTCCGGAGCGTGCATCGTCTGCCAAGTATCGCAGATCGCGTCGTACGCGAGGATGTCCGAGCTGTAGCATTTGGCGCTGCTGTTGTGGGTGGTATCGTTATGGGTGTTACCTCCAAAGACGATCATCAAGGTGGGAGAGATGAACGTGGCGGTGTGCAGGAATCGGGCACTCGGCGCATCCGTCAGAAGCGTCCACGAGCGATCGTTCGGGTCGTAGGCGTATATATGTTTGCTGAGCACCTGAGCGGATTGGTTGAGTGAAACCACGCCTCCGTACACGTATATCCTTCCCGTATAGTAATCCCAGGCGGCGGTGTGACCGTAGCCGCCCTTCACCGGATATCCGCGAGTCTTCACGATGTGCCATTCCCTCGTCCCGAAGTAATACTCTTGCACTGTATTCAGGTATCCCAATTCCGGTGAATGTCCGAAGATCACCACCATACGATCAGCCTTCTTATTACCGATGTTTGCGACGACGGTCGCCGTGTGTCCGGCGGATTTAAGAGGTCCGCACAGAAGGATGCTTCCGTTACAAGACTCCGCCTTCACCGTGATGTTCTCCCACGATTGGGCGTTGATGTCGAACGCCCACAGCTCAGAGGTGGGACCTCGATTTCCGCAGATACCTCCGTACAGGAACAGCTTGTCGCCGTAAAGAACAGTCGAGTGGGCGTACCGCATGTGTGGGCCGTCGTTCAAATGCGGAGTCTCCCACACGTTACCTTCGTTACAAGAAAAAAACATCGATAAATATAAATTACCAAATTTGATTGATTGATTTAAATTACCATTGAAATCGTATGTGTACAGCATTTTTCCTTTGTTGTAACTCTCGCCGGAGATGATGTAGAGGGAATCCTTCCACACGGCCGCCCCATGCGACGCCGATCCTGATCCGACGACGTAATTATCGGGAAGGATACTCTCCCAGTATCCGTTGGAGGCAGGTTGGGAGCAGTCGGAACCCTTGAAGCCTGGACTGCATTTACAGCCGTTCTCAGGTTCGCAACTTCCACGCTGATCGTGGGCGCCGCAATTGTTCGGACATTTCTCCAGGTGGCAAGCCTCGCCGGTCCAGTGACCTTACGAGCAAAACAACATAAGATACAAAGATTAAGGGAGGCGTAAGAGTCTGTTTACCATTGCAGGTGCATTGACCGTCGATGCAGACGCCGTTTCCGGAACAGTCGACGCCGGAGACGTTGGACGGACACGCGTTCAGACGATATGTGATGTTGAAACCGGACATGTTGTAGGCGTCATCGGAGAAGAAATGGACGAGGGCGGTACCAGATTGGGCCACAACCTCCGGTATCTTTCTGATGCGATAGGCGTTGCTGTACATGAGCCCGCTGAAGACTGCCAGAAGAGGGGAATTGACGCTGTCACCGTCGTAGATGTACAGGTGATCCCAGCCGCACTCTGTCGCAAATTCCTCCAGGTGAATGGTGATGGAAGCGTTCGGAGCGTCGATCAACCAGCTGCATTTCACACCGATCGAGTAGTTTCCGAAACCATCGTGGATCGTCCCATTCGACGTTCCCAATCTGCAAAATTCAATAACAAATTTTAATTCTGAAGGTGAAATAATAAACTAAATTACAATAGATGTGTAAAAATACAAAATGCTGGCGCCTCTATGAATGATTTAGAATTTGGAAAATCTAATTTAATTGAAGTGTGCACGAAGAAAATAAAAGAAAAAAACAAAAACTAAATCTCACTTTACATAACAGATTTGAACTTTGAGATTCGAGCAGGCTATAAATAAAGCACAGCACAGGAATGAGATCAAAACAAACGACAGGATGATGGTCTCACCTGACTTTGCCACCGCAGAACTGGCACTGTGAGCCCTGCCATCCGTCGTAGCAGGCACAAGTCTCGTTCACGCAGACCCCGTGACCGCCGCAATCCTCAGGAGCCACGCATTTGCTCTGCACCTGCTGCAGACTTCCGACAGCAAACAGCAGCACACTCACACAAACGAGCAGATCCGTCGATTTTCGCCTGTACTTGGACTTGAAGAGGAACAGGAACATCTGCAGCACCTCCAACATGACTCTCTCACTCTGCTCTACCGTCTCCTCACGTCCTCCTGCCTCTGCTCTGCTCACTTGATCACTCTCGCACTTCTTTTCGCTCCTCGTCTTATCAAACGGCGACGACTACTTTGGAGAACATCGCGTGTCCGAGTGAACGTGTGGTTCCTTCGCTCCAGGATAAGGATAACTGTTAATTTTCATTTGATCATTGCGTCGTGGCCACCTCGATTCGACAACAACAACAACAACAGCACGATTGTTATGAAAGACCCTGTTTCTCATTCAACAATCCGAAACTCGTAACTTTTGCTTTGATCTTTTGTCGGGAAGCGAAAGCGAAAGGAAATAATCACCAGCAGATCAGCAACAACCATCAGGTTCTTCTAATTTCTGACATTTCACACCACTCGACCAGTTGACATTTGCAATAACACAACACACGTCCGCGGGGGGGGATCGCTGCAAGAAACCGTCCGCAAAAAAGGTGATAACCGGAAGATGCACGCAAAAGGGAGCGCTAAAAAGTTTTACGAAAAGTTTAAACCGCAATCAAACAACAAACAGAGTCGTTATCTTATCTCGCTTCCGGATTAGTTCAAACGTCCATCGAGCATCTCAACTAATTATGTAGTTCGAATCGAGAGTAGTTCAAAAGACTGCTGTCAGATTTTGAGGTTATCCTTTGATGCATCCAGCGAGACGCACGTGTTTGGTTAGTTGTTTGTGATTCACAAACGGATATCTGCGTAGTGCGCCATGGGGAAGTTTCGGAGCAAGTTGAAGGGTCAGACGAAGGGCAAACGATGGCCCAAGGGTCAGAGTTCCAACTCGAATCCGGAGACGAAGAAGTACAGGGATCTGGCGAAATCGCGTTTCTTCCAGGAGAATTTGGGTTTGTTGTTTTTTCTCTCTCTTATTTTCCTAAAAAAAAAACAATAACTAATGGAAAACAATTGCAGGTGCCTCCAGTTTGACAACTGATGCTTTGAAGAAGCACGATGCCGTGCAATACTCCATGCCAAAGAAGCAGGAGATTGCCGATCAGGAGATGGATGCCGATGATTCTGGGACAGAGTACAGCGTGCAATCATCATGCAAATCGTTTGCCTCTGAATGGTCAGACTGCACGAATGTATCGTACAATAGGTTCCTCACTGTCTTCAGATCAGACTCGGCTTTGCACAAAGAGATGCTGGCTATTCTGGCTGCCGTCACTGAGGTCATCAAGCAGAATGGTGGAACCGAAACACCCACTGAATACTATTGCACTTTGGTAAAACTTTTGTTTACTATTATTACTCGATTGATATAAATAACATTATTTTTTTAAAGTTAACTACATTGGAGCAATTGAGCACTTCCGAAGAAGCCACAGAGGACCAAATGACTGCAGTTCTTTCGTTATTGAATATGGGTATTAAAAAAGTACCTACGGCAGTTTTGAGGACGAGCTTTGGTGATGTTACCAGCAAACTGTTGAAACTGATGAACCAATACTGCACGTCCGACAACAACGTCATAATCAAATCGATCTTCGGGGTGCTTGGAGTATGTCTCAGGGAACAGGAGTTGGCCATCTGGACGCACTCGCAAACCTTGCAGATCTTCGCCTCGATCGTCAATCCATTCTGTGTCCACTCCAAACCTAAGGTAAATTTAATTGATATTTTTACTATAGATATTTTACGTGTTATCTGTTGTTGTTGTTTTTGTCAGTGGAGGAAAGCGGCTCAGCAGGCTGTGTTTGCCGTCATCGGAGCTGACATCTTTAAGAACGAAAACAATTACAATCCGGCAGCGGATAAAGTCGCGGAATTCAGTCTGCAAGCGTTGGAGGCTTGTCTGGGCACCAATTCCAATGGGACTGTTCTCGTCTCCTCCATCCAAGCGGGACAAACGACGATGCTTCATACGTTGAACTTCTTGAAGGACACGATTTGTTATTTCAACAAAGGACATCTTAAGGTAAGCACTTCATAAATAAGATTACCATGGAAACATTGGTACTTACTATGGAAACTGTACTGTTAATTTTGTTTTAGGCCTGTGGTGAGATGATTCTGAAGTTGATGTCACTCAACTATCCTCTGGTCACGTCCGGAGGTCTGCAAGTTCTGCACGCGCTCTTCTCGTCGGCGAAGGCCGTCGCCTCCGCCAAATTCAACGGACAGATGATCACAGCCCTCTACGATTATCAACCATCCTCCATGGATGCCCAGCCCACTTTGGCGTGGTTAACAGTCATGCAACAAGCGCACGTCCATCTGGCAGAGTAAGAGCATACCATTTCATTATAAAGCAACGTTTCTAAAACTATTTTTTCCTCATTGCAGCATCGATATTGCAATGTGCGCTGCGTCTTTACCGAAAGTCTTCACGTCCATCACGCAACTGTGGCTCTCGCAAAAGTCCGAGATAGTGATGGCAGCGACGAGAGCCGTGGAGATGCTCCTGAAGGATGCTGCTGGTCCGATCTGCGCGGACCCTGACATGGCCAGAAAGTACGAGCATTTGATGAGCAAGTGTTTCCAAACCGTGGAGCTGGGTCTCGGCTACCAGTACAACCACGCATGGCCTCAGGTCTTGCATTGCATGTCCGTAATGTTCGAGGTAATGCAACAGCTTTCATAATTAATCGCATGATGTTAACGTTTTTGTTTCTTGCGCAGATCGGAGGCGCGAATTGCAGCAGTCTTCTTTTGGGATGTCTGAAAACCCTGTCCGAATTAAGAGATTCGTACAAGTTCAGTTACAACAACGAGTTGGAGCACGCGGTCGGCGCAGCCATAAGATTCGTTGGACCTGAAACAGTGCTCAGCGTTATATCGCTTAAGGTAAGCGGATTTGTCTCACCTGCTGTTATATAAGAGAATTTAATCAATTCAATTTGCAGAAGGATAACGGTGAACTCATATTGGATAGGTCGTGGTTGATACCGGTGCTGAAGGAGAACGTTCGCTCTTCGAAATTGGACTTTTGGATCAAGGGTATCTTACCTTTGGCCACGGCGTGTCAGAACAAATCCGCGGAATTGACGAATAGAAACGACGCGATTGGAGCGCACAGCGCTGAGCTTCTCTATCTGCAGCTCTGGAATCTCCTTCCGAGTTTCTGCAACAGTCCAATCGACATCAGCGCCAGTTTTAAGGTAATTGTTAAACTGTAATTATTATTATTTGTTATGTATTTACCTTTCGTTTGTTTTGTAGGGCGTTGCTAGGATATTGGGTGTGGCCATATCGGAGCACAAGGAGCTGCGATTGGCTGTGATGGCGTCTCTAAGGAAACTGATCACGAGCGCGAAGGAGACCGAGAACGAGGCGGACATCGCCGAGCTTGCCCGATTTGATAAGAACTACCTGCCCATACTGTTCAACGTGTACACGACGAAACCATTCGGCACGGACGAGGAGGGTCAAAGGTTGGCGGCTCTTGATACAATCGCTGTGAGTATTTTACTAGCATTTAATTAATTATAAACTTAATTACTTAATCAATATTGTAGGTGTATTTGACGATAGCGAGAGCTGAACTGACGAAGCAGCTGTTCGATAACGCGCTGAGCAGACTCGAGAATCTCACGGGAACGGAAGAGATGATCGTGAAGGAGAGTATCCTCGACCTGATTCGTATCTTGGTGAGGTATCAGGACGCGGAGAGCGTCGAGAAGATGTTCATGCAGTGCGTTAAGCATCTGCCTGATATCAAGGATAACAAAGAGCAGAAGAAGGCTTACCGATTGATGGAGGAGATCTGCGGCAGTGAAGCGGAGGGCGTCAAGGAGTTCCTACGGAAACACCGTAAGCTGGTGCAGAAGCTGCTGATGAAGACGCTGCAGACGGCTGCGGTGCAGAGCAAGGTCGCCCGTCTCCGTTGCTTGAACTTCCTGCTGAAGGCGCAACCGGCTCTCGACCACGACAGCAATCTGATCAAGTCTACCATTCCAGAGGCTGTGCTCTGCTGCAAAGATATTAAAGAGAAGACGAGACTCGTGGCTTTCGATCTCCTCAACACAATCGGAGGCATCCTCGAGACGCACGACAGGATGCAAGAGTTCGTCACCATGGTGATAGCAGGTTTAGCAGGAGACGTGCATCTGATGGCATCGACGATCCTCGCGCTCGCCTCGATCCTTCACAACTTCACCGGCACATTGGGACAGAACAACATCTCGCTCATCCTCGATAACATTTTGATGCTGCTCACGACGCCGACACGAGAAATCGTCGATACGTGTCTGAGCTTCATGAAGATTTACATCAGCAGTCTACCCAGTCCTATCATAGCCACATCTTTGCAGAAGATCGTGTCGACGATGTGCGACATGAACAAGGACTGCGCGACTCATTTCCGCATGAAGACGAAGCGATTGCTGGAGAAGTTGATCCGCAAGTTTGGCTGCGATGCGATCATGCCGTACGTCCCAACCACCGACACCGTAATGTACAAGAGGTTGAGGAATATGCGGAAGATGCAGAACAGGATGAAGAGGCTGCGCAAGTCCGCCGAGGAGCAGCAACAGAACGGAGACGTCGATATGGAGGAGGACTTCCTGGTTAAATCGAGGCCGAAGAGCGTCGAGGAGATTCTCGCCGATTCCGACTCAGATTTCGACGATGATGAGGTGGAAACTAACGATCAGCGGTCCAGACAGAAGAAGTACAAGGCGTACATCCAAGAGGACGAGGACGACATCATCGATTTCAAGGATCCGACGGTCATCAACAGGATCGTCGCGAATAAACCGACGAAGCAGACTGAACCACTGGATGCCGAGGCCAAGAAGAAGGCCAAGGACAGAGGATTCAAGACCACAACCGATGGAAGGCTCATCATCAACGAGTTGGACTCTGATGATTCTGATGGCGGCGGCGGCGCAAAGAGAGTACCGAAAGCGAGTAAAATCAACTTTGGCGAGAGCGACTCCGACACCGACTGTGACGACGATGCGGCCACCGAGATACTCAGAGATAGCAAGAGAAAGAGGTCGGATGCTAGCAGCGTTGCAAGCAGCATGGTATCCAAGTACAAACCCGGAGGTTCCGGAATCCACAGGTAATAAAAACTATTTATTAAGAATTATAAATGTTAACGCATTAATTTTTTTTTGCTTTAATTTAGAAATGTTGGAGCTTCGACGAGTTCAGTGTACAGCGGCACCGGTTCCGAGTACAAATCCAAGAAGGCTTCAGGTGATGTCAAGAAGAAGAACAAGGTTGATCCGTATGCGTACGTTCCTCTGGAGAGGAGCACGTTGAACAAGAGGAAGAAGACGAAGAGACTGGGACAGTTCAAGAATATAATCGGTGCGGCAAGATTGGGCGCCAAGAAGGGACTGAAGGCAAAGAGAGCAAAGAAATGATGAGATACGATCCGTTGCGTCTATTAAGAATTTTGTTTGTTTTTTGTATAATATTTAATTGCTAAATATATTCCTACATGTAACTGTTACTTTTAAATCATTTAATTAACATCCTAATCGTGTAACTGATTCTTTGGTTGCATAAGCTGCTATAAGAAGTTCCAAAACATGTTTTCTACTTGATACTATAGATTAAATGTTGTTAACTTAACTTCTTATGGTTTGTGAAATAAGTTAATAATTGTTGATTTGCGTTCATTAAAAAGGTAGATGGTTGGAAGTATAATGTTGGGGTGTTTGGTCTGTTCTGGGGGCGTTAGATGACAACCGATAAACATCGTATTCAAAACATAACCCTCTTGATATAGGGAAGGGTGGTTTCTCTTGTGGTTTATTATTGTTGTTGTTGTTGTTTGATGAAGAATGGAGGTAAGAAATTGATAAGGAATGGTGGTTCAGTTGGGCTGAGGACAGTGGACATAGGTACGACGATGAAGAAGACGAAATTGAAATTCCTGAAGCCGCTGAGCGGCGTATTCCTAGTGCTCATCACCGTTTTCATCATCTACATCTATTTAAACTTCGAACGCGAACTGAGGAGGTTGAAGGAGGTGCAGGTGGTGCCGTCGTTCGATAACTACCTGAAGACGAGGTCCGGACGCACCGCTTCGCAGCAGCAGCATCGTCAGCAGGGCTTCCGCGGGGAGAAGATCGTCCATCTGGACCTGAAGGGAGCGCCTCCGAAAGTGGAATATCTGCGGAAGATTTTACCGCTGTTCGCGAAGATGGGCGCCACCGGTATCCTGATGGAGTACGAAGATATGTTCCCGTACGACGGCGACATTTCAGCGCTGAATCACTACAGCGTGCAGAACATCAGCGAGATGAACGCGCTCGCCGATGAACATCACCTGCAGATCATCCCACTGGTGCAGACGTTCGGCCACATGGAGTTCATACTGAAACTGGAGAAGTACAGGGATCTGCGCGAGGAGACTTGGTATCCGCAGACGATCTGTCCGAGCAATTTCCAATCCTTGGATCTGATCCAGTCGATGATTGGTCAGGTGTTGCGTGCTCATCCTAAAGCGAAGGCGATTCACATCGGATGCGACGAAGTCTTCCACGTGGGCAGCTGCAACAGATGTTACGACAGGATGCTGAAGCACGGATGGTCCAAAGTGCGTCTCTTCCTCGACCACATCGTCACCGTTGCGAAACACATCAAGCAAACGTATCCGGGTGTCAAGGTGCTCATATGGGATGATCTGTTGAGGAACATCGAGCAACCGGATCTGAAGGAGAGCGGTATCGCCGATTACGTGACACCGGTCGTCTGGAAGTACGTGCCGGACATCTACACGACGTTAACGCACAAAGTCCTGTACAAGTACAGCAACGTCTTTCAGAGCGTTTGGATTGCGAGCGCGTTCAAGGGGGCGACTGGTAGTAACCAATACATCACCGACGCCTCTTACCACGTGGATAATCACGCCTCCTGGATGAACGTGGTACGCGACTACAGCATGACCATCCACTTCGAAGGCATCTTCATCACCGGATGGCAACGGTACGACCATTTCGCCGTCCTCTGCGAGCTCCTCCCCGTCGCCATCCCATCTCTGGCAATGTGCTTCCGCCAATTGGCTGGGAACAACGATCCGCCCACGGACCCGCCCATCGACGTTGGCAACCTCTTGAACTGCGACAAACCGTACGGCCTGCTCGGCCCCAACTACGGTAACCCGAAGTGCTCCTATCCGGGCGCCGAGATCCTCGACGAAGTCTACAGACTGAAGCAGCTCAAGGACAAGTACGCTCAGCTTCTCGCCGATTCACGCATCAAAGGATGGATGAACGAGTTCAACGTGAGGCATTCGTTCTCCAACCCCGAACTGGTGGAGAGCGGCACCGCCGATCTGGATTGGTTCAAGGGGCAGCTGTGGTCCGTAGAGACGAACCTCTGGACCTCAATGGCAGACATCTACGATAACTACACCATCTCAGAGTGGATGGAGAGCTACATCAGACCGTTCGAGGCTGAGATCGTCTCGCTGTGGGAGAAGAAGGAAAAGCTGCTCAACGTGGACGTCTGGCCTCGACGACCAATCAACTTCAATATCACCAAACCCTGACCTTCCACCTTTCGTATTATTTATTTATTTATTTTCACGTCTCGTGCTCGTTTCAATTAAGCCAACAAAAGGCGACCTCTTGCTCAATGCAACAATCAATCTGTGTTAGTAGGTGAAAATACACACCAAATAAATCATATATCAAACCTATTTCTACTTCAATTTAGGCCACCTTCCACAAACTACTGGATTAAAGTGGGAGGAATCCATTAAGGAAAATACAGGAAGAAGAAAGGTGGCCGTTTTAAGGAATGGTATTTTTTCTTTCTTTCCAAATTACCCAAAAAATAAATGTCTGTATGTTTTGTATAATACTATAATAACGTGTGATATTTTATAATCTCTCTTTCCAGTTCCTTATTACTTTTTTTTTTTATAAATATATATATATATATCGTAATAGTTTCGATTTTTTCCAAGATCATAACAACGTACTAAACATATATAAAGAGAAGAGAAGAGAAAGAGACAAAAAAAAATAATAGAGTGTAATAATAATAATACTAATTACCTTAATATTAACTAAAATCGAGCTTATTTCTTAACACATTTTATCTTCGACATCTGAAAAATAAAGAATAAATAAGTCTAACGGACGGGGGGAAATCATCTTAGGAATGAAGGAAGGAAGGAAGGAAGGAGTCGCTGCTTAGTAATGTACCAAATTCGTTGGCTTCATTCCTATGCTCCTGTTGGAGGTGTTCCTGAGGGCGATCCTACTGCTGCTGATGTCGCCATCTTCCGTCCTTTTCGGATCAGATACTGATAAGTTTGGTTTAGCAATCTTCCTCAAACTGGACACGAGGTTCTCTTTGCCAACGCTATAGCGACGTGGGCGTATCAGACCGGTTGTGGTAGTAGTACCAGCCCCTTTCGACCCTTCGTTCGTCGACCGGCAACGACCGCTCGTGTTCGTCGCCGTTGTGGACACGTTCGTCACGGAATCAGACTTATTCATGTTATAATTACTGCAAACAAATAATTAATTATCGTTGCAACACGCGAATCGTGTATAGAATATACTAACCACATTTCATCAAAACTGGTGGTTTTTACTAGAGGAGACACGGAGCATTCCAAAGATTTCTTCTTGATCTGACTGGAACAGGCCAGAGGGATGGACAATTTGCTCTGCGGTTGCGTCCTGTCGGGCGTGGATTGCGCCATCGGCTTTAGCTTAGTGTTCTGTGAGGAATTGAAAACGAATTCTTTTATATATTTTTGTCTTTATGTACTTTTCTATATATTTATATGATTTTTAACTTATTTATTTACTATAATTTCACTTGCTTTTTATTTGTGGGCTAATTGTGTACTTTATATTTATTTTATTTTTTTCGGGACCGAAGGAAGAACAGTTGATCTTTTGTTTTCTACTTGGAAAAACTGATTCGGTTCCCTTTGGCCAAATGTACTCATAGTAAATTTATTTTATTTTGTTTTCTTTATATTCTTTTGGTCAATAAACTTGATTATTATTATTATTAATTTCTAGGAATGCTCAAGTCTTAAATCTTGTATTTACTTACGATTAAAGGGGTGCTAATCCTTTTGGAAATGGATGTGCCAATGGATTGCTTCCTGAGCGGAGTGTTCGTCAACTGAGATTTGGCGATCTTGGAGTCCTTCAGGAGGTCTTTGAGATGAAGATAAAAATGTTAAAATACTTTTCCAAGATTGAAAATGTCGAAATAATACCTTTCTTTTTGGTGATCGCGTTGACCGGAAGCATGGCTTTCATCGGTCCCTTTTTGGTTTCCTCGATTTTTTTGGGCTTCAGCTTGTTCGAGCTCGTTATGGAACTGGCGTTGCTGTCGCTGCTCACGTTGCACTTGGTCTCCATTCCGATGATGATGTTCTTCATCTCCGTGACCTGACTGTTCAGGTTGTTCGAGATCAGCGGCATTCCGAACGATTGACAGAGACGTGACCCTTTGTCGACACCATCTCCTTGGAGCAATTTCTCCGTGAGCGACACGGACGCCGCCGTCCTGCTGAGATCCAGCGGCAGCTCCGCGTCCCGTTCCAGTTCCTCCTTCTCCTGCTCGACATCCGATATCGGTCGATTATGCTGCTTGTCCTCGATCGAACTGTGACCGGAATCCTCCGAGCTGATGCTGCTGCAGACGGATCCTGTGGAAGAACACATGAGATCCGCTAGATTTAGCAGCAAACTGTGCCCGGCGATCTTCCGCTCGTAGTTGATGTCAGAACCATTCAATAAAGTGGACAGGGTCAGTATAATTTCACCGGCCTCCCTAAACTTACTCGAGCGGTTAGATATGTTCGAAACATCAATCTTCCCCTCGCCGTTAAGAAGGTCCAACAAATTCTGCTTGTACTCTAACAGCGTTGCAACGTTGCTGCTATTACGACTCTCCTCCTCATCCACAACCTCCTCGTTCTTATCCTGTTGCTGCTCCTCAACTACGAGCACCTCTTCCTCTTCGTTTACCTCTGGGATTTGAGGCGGAATTATTCGATCGATCTCCTTGAACATCGACTCTTTATCACATTTCACCACCTTCTCTATCTCCATATCAGACTCATCATTCGCCAAAAATGGCTGTGGGGTACAATCCAAAATATTTCCCTCCTCATAAGCTAAAACAACAACAACATTATACAATTATATAACTAATTAATTAATACGAAATACTTACAGGCTTCTAAAATTGAGCCATCAGCTATTTTACAAGCAATATGATGAGCCTCGATGAACACCGAATCATTCTAAAAAAAAACGAAATTAGCAATAGTAAACACAATCAATAATAATAATAATACTTACAAATTCATCATCATCCTCCTCCACGGAAGAAGTCCTATTACTTTTAACCTCAGCACTGATGCACCTCCTCTTAATTGCATCCAAATCAGTCTCAGTCTCTGGAACGTTCGCAGCAACAGGCAAACTGTACAGTCTCATTCTCTCATCGATCCTCTGATTCAGCTCACTCAACAGCAGATCATCTTGACTGAACTGATTCGAAATGAAGGCGTTGTTGAAATCTGAACTGCTCAAACCCTTCAAAGAGTTTGCAGAGTATATGGTGGACGGGGCAACGCTCTCGTTGAAGTTACTCGAATTGTACAGACTGAATGCATTCGACGATACACTGGAAACATTTGAATTCTTCCTGTCCAAGAAAGATAACGGATGCAGGATTGCTGTGTTGAGTGTGTCACCGCTTAGCGGAAGGTGCTGCAGGAAGTCTGGTTCTGTGAGTCTTATGGAAGGGCTGTTCATGTGCAGAATGCCCAAAGACTCTCTGCCTGTGATGTCCAGCACCTGAAGAGATTCTCTCCCTATGCTCGACGGTCGAAACGGCATCGACTCTCGACCCAGATCGAAGTTCAGGTGAAGATTGAAATCGTTCGAATTGAAGAGTGTCGTGAAGGATGTCTCGTCCTTAGGAGCCGGACTGTTGAACTCTATCAAATCACCCATTGTTTTTTTTAATCCTTAAGCAAACTCGTAACTGCGAATGCAAAACAACAACGATATTACAATCAAAGCAGGCTATATCGAAAACGGGGGAGTAAAAAAATTGAATAGCAATATTTTTTTTTTCTTAATTCAATTTGTGTAAATCGAACAAACTTACCACGAATTGTCTATTGCATTTAATTTTCGCTCCGTTCTCACACGCACTCAACGATTTCACTCACTTAATGTTAAAACTGGCGACGATCTGTTCTTCGGTTGAGACCAAAAGCGAATGAAGAAAAGAAACAGCGCAAAACTTTTAGCATCAACGGTCCACTACCGGTTTGACAACACAAATTCAAATTTCACCTGTCCACCACGAAAACAAACAGACAACTGTGCGAAAAGAAAGAAAACTACCACCTTTATATACAGATAACCAATGCTGCCAATATATATTGGTTCGAAAAAAAAACTACAGATGTCCCTAACTTTTTTTAATTCACATTTAACGACGTTTAAATTGCGGGGCAATAAAATAGAAATTTTTTAACAACCGTATTTCTCTGAATTCACTACAAAACATAACAGTTTTAAAATTAAGTAGAAATGAAAACACTTATATTATTGGAATTATTTACAGTTACGTAGAATTTTTAAAAGAATTACGTATAAAAGTTTTCTTTTTATTTCTGATGAAAATATGGAATAGAAAAAAATAATAATAATATAGTTTTTGTTTACAATTAATTAAATAATTAACAATAATTAATTTTAGCCATTCGTGGCGGCATCTGTAGGCTGATTGGAATTTGTTTAAATTTTGAAAATAGTTCAAATAAATGCAAAAATTATCAATAAATTAAAAAAAGAAACGACTTTATTGTTTTGCAAAATGTTTGATACGCCTCCAGGATGAAAGTACCTTTTCCTGGAATATTCTTCACTTTTCATGGAATAAAAAATAATATGTTTTTTGTTTACAATTAATTAAATAATTAACGTAAATTAGTTTTAGCAATTCGTGGCGCCATCTGAAGGCTGAATGGAATTTGTTTAAACTTTGAAAATAGTTCAAATAAGTAATGCAAAAATTATCAATAAATTAAAAAAAGAAACGGCTTTATTGTTTTGCAAAACGATTGAAATTAAAGTAATTGTGGGTTAACAATTTGTTTTTCTCGGTACGCCCGCTGGATTCTCCAGGATGAAAGTACCTTTTCCTGGAATAGAAATAATAATATATTTTTTGTTTACATTTAATTAATTAATTAACGTTAATTAATTTTAGCCAAATTAATTAACGTTAATTAATTTTAGCCATTCGTAGCGCCATCTGTAGGCTGAATGGAATTTGTTTAAACTTTGAAAGTAGTTCAAATAAATAATGCAAAAATTATCAATAAATTAAAAAAAGAAACGGCTTTATTGTTTTGCAAAACGATTAAAGTAATTGTGGGTTAACAATTTGTTTTTCTCGGTACGCCTGCTGGATTCTCCAGGATGAAAGTACCTTTTCCTGGAATATTCTTCACTTTTCATGGAATAGAAAATAATATGTTTTTTGTTTACAATTAATTAAATAATTAACGATAATTAATTTTAGCCATTCGTGGCGCCATCTGTAGACTGAATGGAATTTGTTTAAACTTTGAAAATAGTTCAAATAAATAATGCAAAAATTATCAATAAATTTAAAAAAAAACGGCTTTATTGTTTTGCAAAACGATTGAAATTAAAGTAATTGTGCGTTAACAATTTGTTTTTCTCGGTACGCCTGCTGGATTCTCCAGGATGAAAGTACTTTTTCCTGGAATAGAAAATAATATATTTTTGTTTACAATTAATTAAATAATTAACGTTAATTAATTTTAGCCATTCTTGGCGCCATCTGTAGGCTGAATGGAATTTGTTTAAACTTTGAAAATAGTTCAAATAAATAATACAAAAATTATCAATAAATTAAAAAAAGAAACGGCTTTATTGTTTTGCAAAACGAATGAAATTAAAGTAATTGTGGGTTAATAATTTGTTTTTCTCGGTACGCCTTTCCAGGATAAAAGTACCTTTTCCTGGAATATTCTTCACTTTTCATGGAATAAAAAATAATATATTTTTGTTTACAATTAATTAAATAATTAACAATAATTAATTTAAGTCATTTGTGGCGCTATCTGTAGGCTGAATGGAATTTGTTTAAACTTTGAAAATAGTTCAAATAAATAATGCAAAAATTATCAATAAATTAAAAAAAGAAACGGTTTTATTGTTTTGCAGAACGATTGAAATTAAAGTAATTGTGGGTTAACAATTTGTTTTTCTCGATACGCCTTTCCAGGATAAAAGTACCTTTTCCTGGAATATTCTTCACTTTTCATGGAATAGAAAATAATATGTTTTTTGTTTACAAATAATTAACGTTAATTAATTTTAGCCATTCGTGGCGCCATCTGTAGGCTGAATGGAATTTGTTTAAACTTTGAAAGTAGTTCAAATAAATAATGCAAAAATTATCAATAAATTAAAAAAAGAAACGGCTTTATTGTTTTGCAAAACGATTGAAATTAAAGTAATTGTGGGTTAATAATTTGTTTTTCTCGGTACGCCTGCTGGATTCTCCAGAATGAAAGTACCTTTTCCTGGAATAGAAATAATAATATATTTTTTGTTTACAATTAATTAAATAATTAACGTTAATTAATTTTAGCCATTCGTAGGCTGAATGGAATTTGTTTAAACTTTGAAAATAGTTCAAATAAATAATGCAAAAATTATCAATAAATTAAAAAAAGAAACGGCTTTATTGTTTTGCAAAACGATTAAAGTAATTGTGGGTTAACAATTTGTTTTTCTCGGTACGCCCGCTGGATTCTCCAGGATGAAAGTACCTTTTCCTGGAATATTCTTCACTTTGCAGAAGGGTTCGCTGTAGTCCACCAGCTTCGCGGATGCCTGCTTCAGGGCGAACACGGTTTTACCGCTGCACGCGAACAGTTCCTTGCTGTTGGTGATTTTGGAGCCGGAGGCTGAGACGAGCTCGAAACCAACGGGAACGCCAAAGATCGTGCAGACTTCTTTAACGAACTGCTCGTGGGTGATGGGCTTTTTGCCTTCGAGGAGTACCAAGCCTTTGGTGGAGGTGATTCCGTACCTCGGGACGAGATCGACGAGCTGCACGTTCACCCATTTCACTGTTGGCGTCGTCACGTTGGAGATCTTCGTGAGGACGATGTGCAGGTTGCAGTCTTTCAACTTCTGCGTCTCCTCGAGGATGAGGGAATCTTCGGGGCGACGAGCGGTGGTTACCTTGAAGGGTGCCTTGATCGCCTCCTCGATGAATCCGTTGTACTCGTTGGAAACGCGCTCGATTTCGTTCTCGGTCTTGTAGTAAACGACGATTTCGTCAGTTGGAACTAGATGGGCCTTCTTGCGTAGTTTTTGGATCCTGTTGATTATCTCGCGGGCGATTCCCTCGTCCAGCATCGATTGATCCGGGGTGACGTCCAAGAGGACGAGCACGTCGTTGTCGCTGTGCACTTCGTACTTGGTGGAGGTGACTTCGTCGGATTTGAAGATCAGGCGAAGCTCTCCGATTTCCACCCGGTGACCTTCGATCATCCTGAAGCCCTTCGTCACTGTCTCATTGATTTCAGCGTCGTTGAGGGCCTTGATAGCAGCCGTGACCTTCTTGAAGTCGTTCTTAAGTCTCAGGCCTAGAGTCTTGTGATCCGGTTCGGCGCGTAACGTCACACCGTACTTGCTCTTGTCGGTGGTCGTCGTCAGCTTTCTCACGTTCAGCTCGGAGAGGATGTACTGCTCCAGAGAAACGACATCTTCTATGTACTTGTCGTCTTGATGGATGATCACCACGTCGGGAAGAGGATACTTGATGGGAATCGTTTTGCGATCGCGGATCACACGTCCCAACTCGATGATGCTCTGCATGCGCGACACGGCCCTCTCGATGTCCACGTTGATCAAACTCTGATCGGCCTCGGGCAGCATCAGGTAGTGCACGCTGTCGCCCTCCGAATCCGTCAGTTTCTTCAGGTACTGGTACATATTGTCGGCGAGGAAAGGTGCGAACGGAGCCATCATCTTGACGATGTTGAAGAGCACGTTGAAGAGGGTCATCAGCGCCTGCTTCGAGTCCTCCAAGCCGCCTTCGCCCTTCAACCTTTTGCGGTTCATACGCACGTACCAGTTGGTCAAGTAATCGATGTACTTGGTCAATCTGGGCACCACGTTGTACAGATGATACAGAGCCATCTCTTTGCGGACGTACTCCAACAGCGATTGCGTGAAGGAGAGTATCCATCTGTCCATGATGTTGCTGCTGCTGCTCACTTGCTTCTCCGAGTACTTGAACGGGATGCCGTTGTCCTGCACGTAACTCTCGATGTTCTGCATCAAGAACCTGAAGGCGTTGTACCAAGGCAGGAAAACATCCTTGATGATATCCCTCACACCTGCAAAACAGTCACAAACCATCAATATTATTAATCGAGTAGTAATAAATTATTATCGATGATCGAATCTTACCTTCCTCTTTGAACCTAAGGTTCTCTGCCCTGACGACCGGTGAATTGATCAGGTACAACCTGAGGGCGTCCGCTCCGTACTTGTTCACAACCTCCAGCGGATCCGGATAATTCTTCTTCCTCTTGGACATCTTCTGTCCGTCCCCGGCCAACACCAAACCGTTAGCAATCAAATTCTTGAACGGCGCCTTCCCGAAGAGCGCCGTCGAAATAACCAGCAACGTGTAAAACCATCCTCTGGTTTGATCGATTCCTTCGGCGATGAAGTCGGCTGGGAACGCCTCCTCGAACTCCTTGACGTGCTCGAACGGATAATGCTGCTGAGCGTACGGCATCGATCCGGACTCGAACCAACAGTCAAACACCTCGGAGATCCTCTTCAACGGTGCATTCCCTGCTATCCTCGACGGTATCTCCAGATGATCGATGCTCTCGCGATGAATATCGGTGATCTTAGTGCCGGTCAACTCCTCCAGCTCGGCGATGCTGCTCACGACTCGGATCTCATCGCCGCTGGCCGAGATCCAGATGGGAATGGGCGTTCCCCAATACCTGTTCCTGCTCACCGCCCAATCGCGCGCCTCCTTCAACCAATTACCGAATCGCTTTTCTTTAACGAAATCGGGCACCCAGTAGGTGGCAGCGCTGGCCTCCTGCAGCTTATCCGTCATGTGTTCGACGCGGATGAACCACGAGGGGACGGCCTTGTAGATGAGGGGCGTGTCGGAGCGCCAGCAGAACGGATAACTATGCTTCACCTGTCCTTGATGGAACAGCCTGTCGTTGGCCTTCAACGCGGCGATGATGTTCTTGTCGGCGTCCTTTATGTACTGTCCTTCGAAATCGAGGACGGGTTTAGTGAACTTACCGCTCGCGTCCAACGGACAGACAGGTTCCTGATCCCTGCTGATCACACCGTGCGCCAGGCACACCCTGTAATCGTCTTCTCCGAAGTACGGAGCTTGATGGACGATTCCGGTACCGGATTCTTGCGTGACGTACTCGTCCACCAGCACGAAGAAGGCGCCCTTCGTCTTCATCTCCGTGAAATACTCGAAGATCGGAGTGTACTGCAAGCCCTTCAATTGCGCTCCCGGGAACGTGGAGAGGATCTCGTAATCGTCGGCGGCGAAAATGTGCTCCGCCCTCGCTTCCATCACGATGTACACGCCCCCGCTGCTCTTCTGCTTCAATCTCACGTAATTGTGAACGGGATGAACGCACGCCCCCAAATTGCTTGGCAACGTCCAAGGCGTGGTCGTCCATACCAGCAGACACGCCCCATCCTTATCCCCGACAATAGGCAACTTCACCGTCACCGAAGGATCCACCACGTCCTTGTAATTCTGCCCGGACTCGAAATTCGATAGCGGCGTGTTGCAAGCCGTCGAATAAGGCATGATCTTATTCCCCTGGTACACCAATCCCTTCTTGTACAACTCGCTGAACACCCACCATATGGACTCCATGAACCATGGGTACAAAGTCTTGTAATCATTTTTGAAATCTACAACAACAAATTCATTTAAAACTCTTTAAAACATATTCACAATAAAGTTACCAATCCATCTTCCAATACGACCCATGATCACCTCCCATTCGTTCACGTATCTGGTGACGATCTTCCTGCACTCTGCATTATATTTATCAATGCCCATCTTCATCACGTCCTCTGGTCCTTTGATGCCTGCAAATCAACAATTATAGCCTTTCAAATTGATAATGCGACCTAACAAACTGCGCACCTAAAGTCTTATCAATTTCGAATTCGACTGGTAACCCATGGCAATCCCAACCAAATCGTCTTTCCACATAGAAACCTTGCTGATGGGCGTACCTGGTGACCACATCCTTGATGGTACCAGCCAAGATGTGTCCGTAATGAGGTAAACCAGTCGCAAAGGGTGGGCCATCATAAAAAGAATACCTGCAACAACATAAATTATTAAAACTTTCACCTTGATTGAATAATTTAACTTAAACTATGACCATTAAAACTTAGAAATGCAAATAATTCAAGTTTTTCAAGAAATGCATTTATTTAAACAAAAAAAAATATTACCTGGGCTTTCCCTTCGACTGTTTCAAGCATGTATGAAAGACATCCAACTGTTTCCATAAGGTTAGGATTCTCTCCTCCTCCTTGGGGAAGTCAATTGTTTCCGGAACCCTCTGGATCTGCTGCACCTTCTTCTCCGCCATCTCTTAACTTAACTCCAAGTACCTTAAGATTACTTTACTATTAATACTATACTTTAAGTCTTCTTTAAGATTCTAAATTCGGCAATTCCAATTCGACTGCACAAAATTGCATCACCACATCGCACGAAACGTGTTGCGATGACACTTCTGCATAGGCAACATCAAACGCACGCAAGTATAAATAACAAGAGGAAACATAAACGCAAATTTAAATCGAGTATTAATTATTGAAGAAATCTTTAATTATGTTTGTGATCCAGTTAAATGTTCATTAAGTTTCTACAATCTTTCATTGATAAATTTAAAATAATTACTATATGCAACCAAGTATACGTTAAATTCAAAATTTGAAAAAAGTTTTGAGACAATTTCCAAAGACTTAAATAACTTGTAAACATGCGTTAATTGATTAATTATTATAAATTATTATGATTTAAGTCGAAATTACGATACATTTGATAGAATTATTATTCTATTATTGTTAATTGTTATAATATTTGCAATTCTGCATTGGAAACGTCACATTGTGACGCAGTTTGCAGTTTGAGTTGTTGAACGAATTGTAAGTGCATGAAATTAAGTTCTTAGAGATTGATTTTGCATTTTAAACTTGATTTCAGATTGGATTCAGTTGAGCGATGTCGCAGACGAAGCGCGGTTGGACTTCGGATATCGTCCACATCAAGAGCAAGTTGATCCTGCAGAAGGATCGAATCAGCGCCGAAGATGCTTGCAATTGCCTAGCAACGCTCGAGATGAAGAGGGCTGATCTGGACCGGGAGTTCTACGAGGAAATGCACGATGAGTTGACGACGATCTTCGAGAACAAAAGAATATTGAGTCAAGATCCATCGACTTCTTCGATCTCTCAGTTCGACATGAGTCTGTTGACCAATCAGGAGTTCTTCCTGGTGCCGCATCCTCCGGAGCCGATTTCCTCGCAGGATTCGGGCATCAGCGAAACAACGAAGAAACCGAGAGGACGATCGAGGAAAGAGAAAACTGCGAAGCGAAAAAATTCGAAGGTTTTGGTGCTTGAGAACGTGCAGATGAAGAATTCCCAACAGGAGTTGGTGTATTTAACAACTGAGGAGAACCAATCTTTGGAGAGCAACGCGCAAAGTCAGGATCTCTTTCAATCGCAGCAGAAGATTTTCGATGATATGGAGATCTGCTTCGATCTGGTACCGGAGACTTTGACCTATCACGAAACTCAGACCTGCATGGATTTGGTTCCTGCAACGGAATCTCTGGATCCAATCATCATCAGCTCCAATCAAATTGGAGAAGTCGTTGAGGAGACGCAGCAGCAGGATATGGAGGAGGAGCCTGATATAGTGGGCGGGATCAGGGCTAAGCTGAAGAACATGCAGATGACGGATATACAGCAGCTCGGCGACGTCATAGATGACGTTTCGAGGGAGTTGACTAATATTAAGGGCGTGATCATGGGGAAGGCGCACGAGGTGCTCGAGAAGCGGAAGGATAAGCCGACTGTGAGGATGAGGACGTTCAAGAAGTACAACCCGTTCTACGACGAGACGACCGACGTGGTTATTGCCGAGAAGATCTCCGAATTCGAAGGAATTGATTTTATGAGGGAAGAGAAGTGGAAGTGCGAAATGGCGACCATGGAGTATTTGAGGCGTAAACAGAGGGCGTTGCTGCACGCACCACAGCCACGCCTCGTCGACTGGAGGACCATCCCATAGTTGTGAAGATAAATATTACTATCAGAATGTAGACGTTTAGTTTTCAAGTGTAGAGTGTAAGCTAAATAATCGAATTGTTTCTTTTTTTCTTCTTTCGTTTGCTAACAAAAATAAAATAAAATAAAATATAGAAATCCATTTAATAAATACAACTTTTATGTCTTCTGTTATATAATCTTATAAATTGTAAGAACAATTGCCTATACTTTACATTTAAACGCGATTGAAAGGGGCGTGGTTTTAAGTAGGCGTAAATGCCTAAATAACGCAAGTGGGCTGGCTAAGCCTTTACTTAATGTTTAAACGAGATTGAAAGGGGCGTGGTATTAAGTAGGCGTAATTGCTTAAATAACGCAAGTGGGCGGAGACATGTAAAAATAAAGGCGTGGACACGTCCAAAGTGAGCTTTTATTGATTGATATAATCCGTTTTAAGTTTTAAGTACATCGATCGGTGCATAAAAAATATACGATTCCCAAACAGACAAACAAAAATTCTCACTCAGCAGTACAAAAAAAATTAATAATCACATTCAATAAAATATAGTAATCTGGTGCATATATAATAAATATATTCTTGTATTCTTATATATATATATATATATATAGTTACCTTTGGCACCTCGTTGGCCCTAATTCGATTATCATATATCATAAAAAGTTTTTTTTTTCAAAACAATGAAAACACACGCAAGCAGCGTGAAGCGAACAAAAAAAAAACATGATTCGTTGGTTCGGTTCATCGAGATATGATTGATTCATTTGAATAAAAGTTTTGTATATATATAAAAAGAAAATAGGATACAAAATCTCTCAATTTACGCTCTTTTCATTTCCATAGCGATAATTGTTTGGAGCCCCGCCCTGATTGTGGGTGGGGGGGGGAGTTTCAACCGCAATGGTGGGCGGATATTATTAGCGTTGGTGGGCGGAGCCGTATAGAAATAGGTGTGTACATAACAATTTTGTTTTGTTTTTTTCGACAACGACAACGAAAATTGTTTTATGAATAAGAAAATAAAAAAAAGAAAAGAAATATCGTTTAGAAGCTAAATTTTCCGCGCACCTTGAAGAAACCAAGCGAGTTTCTGTTGTGGATCAGAGAACTTAAGCCGACGTAATTCTGAAGGACGATCGGTTTGTGGTGGATGGTGCAACTCAACTGAGACTCCTCCAGGTATCCCATCACGTCCTTCAACTTCTCTATGAACTCGTCCAGATCGTACAACTTCTTCTGCGGCGGAATGCAATCTGTAAATGGATTAATGTAAAGAGAAAGAAAAATTGTAAGTTTTGAAAATTAAAATTTTTACCTTCGTGGAAATATAATGGATGAGAGCTTAACGTGCAGAAGGGAATCGTGTTGTTGAACGGATTCCATTTCTCGGAGAAACCTAAAGGTTTACCCTTGTTCCACATCATCCTCGCACCGCGCATATTTCTATCTCTGCAGCAAAAGAAATGTTAAATTTCATAAATCCATTTGCATCATGTTCGCAATAACAACAACCTGGGATGAAAACTGCAGCTCTCCGACTCGGTTTTCGACCAGCCTTGGAAGAGGCAAGTCTGCAGGATGTTGGTGACGCCATCTGCCAAACCATTTAAGCGACTGCAAACCAATCAGATCATCCAAAACAAAAGTTAAGTTTACTCACGGAACCATGGAACCGGACGGATAGATCAGATCGCCTATGACGATGTTGTCCAACTCGTGCAGAGCGATTTTCTTGTGCTCTAAAATCTTCAGCGCGATAAAATCGTACTTCACTATGAAGATGTACTTGTCGGTGAGAATGATCAGCTTCTCCTTGTCCGAATCCCACAGATTTATCCTAAAAAAAATTCAATTTTTTTAACAAACACTTTTCTTTACAATTCTTTTCAAAATTTTACTCGGTGAGGAGAAAAGTGGCTTGCGGTTTTCCATCCACCTCCGGGTCTATCAACTCCACGGAACACTCTTTGGCAGCACCATCTACGATTCCCTTGCGGAACGTGAAGAAATTTGTGGCGGTTTCCAGGAGGCCACCCTTGATCGATTCGATGCTTTGAATGTTGTTTCCGGTTGCGGCGGAAGCGGCGGCAGCAGCGTTTCCCTGGTCCGCAGCCGGATTTACGCTCGCCGTCGTCTGGCATTTCGGCATCAACGTCTCCGTTACTGAAACGTTACCATAGCAATGGATTATATAACATATTGATTGATTAGCTAGCAACCGTAGCTTTATCCATAGCAACCAATTATATAAGTATAACAAATTAATTCCCTAGCAATCATTTATTTCATCGATGGCAAACGTATAAAGAAGTTGATTTCTTAAAATAGATTTGTTTCTTAGAAAACTGGACGCAATTATTGTATTAAAATTTATGGAATAAATGAACGGAAAATGTGAAAGTTTTAACAATTGTTTTGCACACGTCGATATGTTTTGTGACCTTAACATCGATTTTCCAATGTTAACTTGATAAGAACGCGTATTTAAAATATGCGCGAAAAAAAAACGTTTAATTACAAAAGTAATTTTGTTTTTGTTTTCTTGTGCAAAACCGGTATTTCCTCGATTGTTTTCAAGCAACTGTTGCTTTGATATAGAAACATTCGCATCGACTGACGTTTCAAATTACAGCTGACGGCTTAAAACAATTGAAGAAACTGGAGAAGGTCGTTTGTTTTGTTTGTTTTCTTTCTCCGTTTTATGCAACAGATAGCAGGAATTGACGCGTCCTTGGATTGGATAGTGTTTTTGTTTTCTGTCTTTGTTGATTCTTACGTTTCTGGGTGATCGGCGAGAAGAAGGTGTCCTTCCAGCCGTTCCTTTTATCGGAACCATCGCCGGCGGTGGAGGACGTCGCCGTGGCTGAAGCGGCCGCCGCCGCTGCCTTCTCCTCTTCGCTCAGTCTCAGCGATCCGCCTCTGAACTCCTGCGGAATCTCGTCCTCGAGAGCGTAATCCATCATCTTCTGCTGTTTGCACCACCTTCTTAGATGACCTGACAATATATTTACCTGACAGCCGCTGTCAAGATCACCTGTTGTTGTTGTTTGCCTGACAGTGTCATGTAATTTTTAAATCGGTGCTCTTCGAAATCGATGCGAAATGCCGGGCGAGCTACTCACAATACACCCAACCTTCCCAATCCGATTGAGAGTGAACCGCGACGACGGCGCCGACGATCAATCTGCGCCGTCGGTTGAAAGGAGACGGACGATTTCTGGGCCCGGGAATCGGATGCATGTTAATCGAGTTGCCTACAGTTGCGTAACAGTTTGCATTTAATTGAGTACGTTTGTTTTAATGTAGATGGCATCGTTATATGCTTTACCAATTTAAAGAAAATAAAAAAACGTATTGAAACTTTATAATACACATAAAATCGAATACACGACATTCTTCAGTTTGCAAAAACTTACAAATTTTGTATTGAAATTGTATTCAGCTAATTCTAATTGTTTCATAATTCAAATATCAATCATAGTTGTTTGACAATTGTGTTGCCTATGTTAATGTTTGATAGCAACAGGTTTACCAATTTCTATTTTTGAATTTTATTTCAAATAAAAAATAGAATATTTTCAATATCAATTTTCGTACAAATTATAAAAACAAGATTAATTCATAGTTAAAGTTGATATTGTTATAAGAACATTACATTTCTTAAGTGTTTTATGTAGATTAACAAAATTACAGAAGAATTATTAGTTTTTTTTTTCGAAATTAAATTTGATAATATTTTGCAAAATACATCTTTAGTAATACTGAATTATTAAAATTAAATTACATTTAATGTATGCAGTCGGCTGTGCGATGTAAATAAAACAAGTGTTTATTGCTTAGTGATTCATCGAGTTGCCTACAGTTGCGTAACAGTTCACATTTAATTGAGTACGTTTGTTTTAATGTAGATGGCATCGTTATATGCTTTACCAATTTAAAGAAATTAAAAAAACGTATTGAAACTTTATAATACATTCGACATTCTTCAGTTTGCAAAAATTATATTGAAATCGTATTCATTCTCAATACAACTAATTGTCCAATTGTTTCATAATTCAAATATCAATCATGGTTCTTTGATAATCGTGTTGCCTATGTTGAATATTTGTCAATGTTTGATAGCAACAGGTTTACCAATTTCTATTTTTGAATTTTATTTCAAATAAAAAATAGAATATTTTCAATATCAATTTTCGTACAAATTATAGTTAAAGTTGATATTGTTATAAGAACATTACATTTCTTAAGTATTTTATGTAGATTAATAAAATTACAGAAGAATTATCAGTTTTTTTTTTCGAAATTAAATTTGAAAATATGTTGTAAAATATATCTTTAGTAATACTGAATTATTAAAATTAAAAAGAAGTTACTTTTAATGTATACAGTAGGCTGTGCGATGTCAATAAAACAAGTGTTTATTGCTTTGTGATTCATCGAGTTGCCTACAGTTGCGTAACAGTTCGCATTTAATTGAGTACATTTGTTTTAATGTAGATGGCATCGTTATATGCTTTACCAATTTAAAGAAATTAAAAAAACGTATTGAAACTTTATAATACATTCGACATTCTTCAGTTTGCAAAAATTATATTGAAATCGTATTCATTCTCAATACAACTAATTGTCCAATTGTTTCATAATTCAAATATCAATCGTAGTTCTTTGATAATCGTGTTGCCTATGTTGAATATTTGTCAATGTTTGAAAGCAACAGGTTTACCAATTTCAATTTTTGAATTTTATTTCAAATAAAAAATAGAATATTTTCAATATCAATTTTCGTACAAATTATAGTTAAAGTTGATATTGTTATAAGAACATTAAATTTCATAAGTGTTTTATGTAGATTAATTAGAATTATTAGTTTTTTTTTTTTCGAAATTAATTTTGATAATATGTTGAAAAATATATCTTTAGTAATACAGAATGATGAAAATTAAAAAGAAGTTACATTTTATGTATGTAGTAGGCTGTGCGATGTCAATAAAACAAGTGTTTATTGCTGGGCGATTAAGAAAACAGTTGGCGCGTCTCGATGTCTTTTGTTTAATGCGTCTTATGGTGCGTAGGGATGCGCGTGGGCGGTCGGTTGGGGTGATCGTGAATACTGCATCCTCATTTTCCACCTCGACGAGCTCAAGAAACGGTTAGCGTAAGTAACAGTAATCGTTGCGATTCACCTTAAGGAAAAACCCTCCGCTTCGAAGGGTTGGATTTGCGTGGGATTATGTATGATGAACGTTGTGGGGGGGTTGAATAGGTTTTGTGGAGAGAGGGGGGGCGTCAGGAGTTGGTTATGTCTTTTGGAGCGCGCAACAGCGTGCATATTAATCGCGGGGGCGGTGGCGGGAGGCGTCGCGACGCTGCTTCAAAGCCTCGCCGGTGCGTCCATCCGAAGCCATTCGACGCGACGACGCCGACGGTGTCCCATCCGTACCTGCCTGCACAACATCGCATCCTACAGGTGAGTGAAAGAAAACATAAAAATATATATATTCACAAACTCGAAAACAATACAATACAATACAAGATATCTGTCATTGGTTGTCATGGTGATTGTTTATTTCGTTCAATTTGTGTTGTCCGTGGGCGGGGCTTATAGAAACTTGGCGTTGTCTCCGGTTGCCATTGGCTGCAAGTGCATATTAACTGCAGCTGCAAACTTCTCATTGGTCACAACTAATCCAACAAAAGTTCTCATTGGTCGCAACCAACTAATTCAACAAGCGGGAAGTTTAATTCCGTAATTGGGTTTAGTAATAGTAGCAGTTGTAATTGTATCTCACAACTAATTCATCAACTTATTTATTAATTAATTAATTAATTCAACTTCGGTCAGTTCGGTTCTGCGAATATTACAACGCAAATTCACACTTCACTGAACTGCTACAGCTCAATACAATTTGCAATTCAGACGAAATTCACGTGAAATCCGTCACGCCTTTAAACTTAACTTAATTTAATAAAAAAATAATTAATGGTGAAAGTAAATTTTTTTTTTGCAATTGGTTCATCAATTGTTCAAATTAGGAAACTCACCATGGCAACGATTATCAATTAAGACAATTATTTCATCACTATGGTAACGATAATTAACACGTTAAGGGCGGCGCTTTTCGAGTTGCCTTCCCCCAAAAAAAATGTTCGTGGACGCCTATGGACTGAGAGAAACGTCAAATATCTTACGTCAATCATAACCTTTAAACGTTTAAATTTTTCTTATACATTTTATTAATGATATTGAAGCAATTTATAAGAATTGTGGGAAAAA